GGGACTTTACCACAGAGCCACTTCTCCAGGCGCTGCCCCCTGCCCACTTTTCTTTTTTTTTAATTTTGAGATAGAATCTCACTAAGTTGCCCAGGCTGGCCTTGAACTTAGACTTATCCTGCCTCAGTCTCCCACATGTGCCGCTATGCTCTGCTTGGCTTCTGCCCACTTTAACACACAGCTGCCATTACTGCCCTATTTTATAACAGAAATTAGAGACTACCATCTACCAGGAGAACAGTGAGCACTGGCTGAGCATTCAAGTTTGGTGTTGTAATCAGATTCAAGTTACAACAAAGTTAATGTATTGTCCCTGGAGTGATCTGCAAGGAGGTTAAACGTAGATGTTTAAGCAGGTGAGGGCTTAAACCAACAGCTTAAACCAGTCTTGTAGTTAAGGTGTAGTTTTTTCCTTGGTCAACACAATAGGAGAATTCGGTGGAGTCACAGGCTGTTTTGAGGCCACTTTGGAACTGAGTCATTCAGGTCTTCCCACTCGGCTGGCAGAGTATGCCCATGGTGTTCCAGGAACTGCAAAATTTCTATCACTATCCCTGGGCAACCCCTCAGAAGTGAGCTCTCCATCCCTATCAGGAGGCTGAAATCAGAAGTCCTCCTCCATCTAGTCTTCTAGGCAGTGAGTGGAGGGCTGCCTCCCTTAAGCCAAGCCAGCCCTACTCATCCTAGTTATTAATTCAGAGGCTGTTAAGAGCCAAAAAGACATCTATGTAAATCATGCCCAACCCTCTTGTTTATTTCAGAACTTGGAAGTCTAAAGAATTAAGCATTTTGCTCAAAAGCTAGCTAGTTGGTGTCAGAGACTAGTATGGAAGTCAGATTTTCTCATGGTCCCACAGGGAGGCCAGTGTAGGTCATGAGAAAGATGGGTGCAGTTTGAGAAGGCAGGGGCATGACTTTCAAGACGACAAAAGGAATGGCATCTCTGAAAGATGTTAGGAGAGCTGCGGAGACCCGTGGTATTTCTGGAAAGGATCTGGGGCCATGGAGAGAGTGAGTGTCTATCCTGTCCACATCTCAGGCCTTCCTGCTGCTCTGTAGTCTCTGTGTAATTTATTTTGAGCTTCAAGGCTTGGCACCCACTCAAAGCTGGAAGAGGATGATTACTGCTCCTCAGTAGCACCAGGTGCTTTGTGGATCCAGAGGGGATTAACAGCCCCAGGGAGGCCGAGATCAAATATCTGATGGACTTCTGGGAACTGAGAATAGGACAGCAGGGCAACAGAGCAAGGTCACGTGCAAGGTCACTTGGAGAGACTAAAACAAATACTGGGGGGCAGAAGGGGCAACTTGGATGCAAATACAGAAGAAAGCGGTTTTGGTATGAGCAGCCCTCACCTGCTTAGCACTGATGGGAGGAAGAGGGAGCGCAGTGTGTTGGACTAGTTGCTGTTTTTCCAAACACATGAAAATAGGAATGTATCTCCAGAGTCCAAAATGTACATAGCATGAGCTAACACTCCCTTTATTCTTAACCCTGGATGAGGTCCTGGTGAGAAACTGTGTCTACTCTTAGGCTCAAATAAAGGCAAATGCTGAGGACCTTGAGAGGGTTCAGAACCACACTATCCAAAGAAGGGTAATGTGAGCCACATACATAATTGAAAATTTCTAGTAGCCATAGTAAAATGGAACAGGTGAAATTAGTTTTAATAATAGATTTTATTTAACCTAAATGTTTAAGAAGCTATTTAATGACATATTTTGCATTCTTTATTTTGTACTCCGCTTCTGAAGTCTAGTTTGTGTTTTTACACTTACAACACATTTCACTCTTTATTTGCCACAACCCAAGTGCTCAACAGCCAGGTGTGGCTAATGGTCACCACACTGGACAGCACAGGCTTCGAGTGAGACTGTCAAGTGATAAGAAAATAGGAACAGTAAATGAGAAAACATATACCCAGAGGCGGGGAAACCCCAAGGGTAAACAGCCTTCCAAGTAAAAGCTGCTCTCTGTGATACCCGTTAAATGGGTTCCATCTCCACTGAGGGTCCACCCCGTGCTATACTTCCCTCCCCCCTAAAAAATTCAGGTTTACATTCCAGCTACTTGAGATGTTTTATTTAAATCTAAATAGGAAGAACTTGTCTCTGAGCTAATAGAGTAAATGTTTATCTTGCCTTCTTCCTTCATGTACTCAACAAACACTAAGTGAGGAACTTGGTCATCCCTACCTCTCACTAATGGGGTTAAGTTTGTCCTGTACAGACGTGGAGGCTATGATGATGTTTATCTTCTGCTTTGAGTGTGGCCTGGGACCAAAGAAGGTATTAATTGAGCGATCAATATCCCTCAGGTACTGTGGATCCTTAGGTTAATGATTGGATGCTATCTTTAATTGTACACTATTCCTTTTTACAGAAGGTTCCTTTGAGCACCTAGAGTTAAAAAAAAAAAAACATTCAAGAAGAGAAATTATAGACCCTATTTCCAGAAGAGGTAGAAATTAAGTGCTGCTCTCAGGGTCACACCAGCAATCCCATCATGACCCAAGAGGGAGATGATGAATGGGATGAGATTTCAGGGGGCTCAGCTCTTATGCTCAGTAGTTTTGTCACCTTTTTAAGGTTTCAATCTGCACTGAGCCTTAAAATTTTCTCTTCTTCTCTCCCCAAGTCAAAAGGTTAGTACCAGAGTTAGATGAGGTAATGAATCTATATGTGCTTATCAAATATCAGGTCTTTTGTACCATTTTCGATTCACTAATCTTCTTTTAAGCACCAAATTGTTTGCTAGGTGATCAGTTCCTGGCACAGCTTTGGCGTTAGGTTGATTGAAGGATGCTGGGGAGCTTTCGTAAGCTGTGGAGATCATGCCTCGAGATTGTTCACATCCTGTCTTTGTATTGCTTTGACCTGAGGTCATCAGGCCACCAGCTGGAGTGTGGAATTTTTTTTTTTTTAATGAGAACAAAAGTTCTCATGAGGTCTGACCCAGACCAGTCTTGCCATACTCCAATTAGATAATCTCAGCGTGAGGTAGTTGAAGTCTGCTACAACCTTGCCTCCCAAAGTTAGGCTGAGAACCAGCACCCTCTGCACCACCAATAGATATGCTGAGTCTCATAACATATGCCATAAGCACCAAGAATTTGCACTACGCAGCATCCCAGGCGATACCCGCCCACGCTTGAGCCCTGCATAGTAGTAGTCAATGGAGGTCTCAGTTCCAACAGCTGCTATGGCAGGCAACTCACTTCCTCTTAGGCAGCCACTTCGGTTGTTGGACAGCACTTACTTTTAGAAACTTGTCCTTTCATCAAGTCCAAACCTGACTGTCACTGTCACCCACTTGAGGTGCCCCAAAGTTAGTTTCATTCTTCTGAAAGCCCACAGAGCAAGTACTTGGAAATGTCCCTTTCTCTCCTTTGTTACATGGAAGTCTTGATCCAGAATCGAGGTGGGAAGTAAGTAGAACGGCACAAGGTCAGTCTCGGGCACCTGGCAAAGGCCTGAAGGTCCTGAGACAATGTAGAGAGCATGGAATGGCCTCTTAGTTCTGTCTTTTCCTTCACTCCTGCCAGAATCTAAGGGCACTGGTTTGAGTGATTGAGGTTTGGAAGGGGTTTAGAAAACTTGAAGAGGCTTCCCAAAAGGATGAGAGAATGGAAAGGATGCCTGGGATGGAAATTGGTGGTGCCGGGTGTGCTAAAGAATGAGAACATTTGCAGTGGAGATGAACAGGAGGGGGTGGTTCTGTGCGTGGAAAGAGCAAACAAGCAGCCTCAACTCTCTCCAGCTGAATGACATTGAGGAATGCACAGAAACCTCTCTGAGCATCAGTTTTTAGGGTTTTTAAAGAAGAGGGGATGATCAGCCCTCACCTACCTATCCCCAGGGATTGTGTGGGACACATTAGCAACTATGCTCTCTGACATAATTGTTAAGGTGGAGATGGTCTGAGGATGGAAGAGACCAAGCAGACAGTAGAGGAGCCATGAGACAAGTATACACTCACTCACTATATGATCTCAGAAGAGGTCCCCGCTTTCTCTTGGCCTCTATGAAACAAGTGGATCCTACACAAAAAAATGTCTAAGTGCCCTTCTACAAGGCACTGGAGTTGCTGTGGCTTGTTGCAATTATTGCAGCTTACATGGAGAATTTCTCCAAAGATGGCTTTTCAATATCTGTTCAGAAAGACTTCTTAGAGCTTGCAATTCAATCCTTTTTGAGGGAAGTGATTCCAAATAGTCTTTCAAAGAAGGCCTGGCCTCCATGATGGGAGCCCTGATTAAAAGGTGGGTCTGTGTGGCCTGAATTGCACCTGTTACCATATCAACATCTAGTACCGGTGAGTGATGAGTGACTGTTTCATCTCTACGTCTGCGTCAGGACACACAATCCTATTTCTGGAAGTAAACTCTGGCCTAGGAGATATCTGAACTTGCTTCATACCTCACTGGAGTATGTCATATGCAGATTTTTCCAGGGGAGTGGTCTTGTTTGACACTTCAGATAATACCCAGGAGTGTTTGACAAGTATTATTCTTTTTCAGTTTTTTTAAGTACCCATGCATGGCAGACCTGATAGTTTTGTGGGCCTGCTGTCAGAGGATCCTACTTAACAAAAAAATTGAAACTGGCTGGGTGGTACAGCAGCCATTCCCAAGATGTTTGTTAGCTGAGGGCAAAGGGACCAGTATGCATGGGAGACAAGTCTGTTTCTGAAGACAGCCTTTCCCGTCTCTCTCCTGCCCACCTGGGGACCCTGTGTTGTTCCCTGTCACCACACTGCAGCCATGTTTCGGATTTCCCATCCCATTGCCTGGATGCTTGCTTCTAACTCTGTACATTTGCATTTTCTCCTGTGCATCCACCGTGTTGTCATGGAAACTCAGTGGCCATAGGCTGCGAGTGTCCGGTGTCATCTGAGTGTAATGGTGTGGTATGTGTATTTGCTCACACTTTTATTTTGACTCCTCGCCAATGTGACATCTGCTAAAATGTCTCCCTTATGATTTGCTTGGTGATCACAGCCTTCTCATCATTCATTGAGAGCAGGACCTGATCTCACAGAATCTGAAAAGAGCTATGTGGTAAGATGCCTGTTGAATTAGACCGTAGCTTTTCTAAAGAGAATCCTTACTGACTAGAGTCTGAGGTAATGCCTGGTTAACTCACAGAGCCATTATTTAGAAGACAATGGCTATTATACTGCCAGTAGCTAGGCCACCCTCTTTCCCTCAAAAAAGCAGAGGAATTTAAAGAATATTTTTCCACTCTGCCTACATGTGGGATTAAATTAATGAATTAGTGCATGACTGGGGATACATACTTGTATTTCTTCCCTGAGATTATTCCATTTGTAACAGTTGCTCACTAATTACAGGCTTTTATGCTTCTGCCTTTTTTTTTTTTAATATTCATACTAAATCCCAAATTCTTCTGTATCTTACCTGTTTTTCCATGCTTACGCCTGGATCCCTCCTGCACTCCACTACTGGAAATCTATTTTTTTAACCTGGATCTTCAACTCTGTTTTTTTCCCTGGACTTATGTACTACGTCTGGAATGTTACATCTCTTCCTCTCTTTCTTTTTTTTTTTTTTTTTTTTGTCCCCACATTGACTGTTTTACGGGGGTTTCTGGATATCTCGGGGCCACCTCACAGGAAGCAGTTTGCAATGAGATCATAAACATTGCCGAGAAATCTGTTCATTACTGCAGCACTGTCTCTCATCCCCTTGACTTTCATCACAAGGTATCCCCTTCTGACAATAAATCATCTTTAATCATTTCTCAGCAACCTCAAGCCCAGCAGCGAAGAGTCACCCCAGACAGGAGTCAAACCTCACCAGATTTGTAAGTACACTTGGGAACCTTTGGTGCTCACGTTCTTGGTGGACTTAGGCCTTAGAGAGTGGATCATTGACTGACTGTGAGAACAGCCATGGCGGGCGTGGGGTTGGGGAGTTGGGTATGAGCAAATCACTCCCTGGTCCTCTGCAAATTTCTAGTGAAGGCCATGTTTCCTATCAAACACTGTGAAAAACAGGTTGCAGGATTATAAAAGAGATCACAGAGAGAGGTAGACTTTCAGTACAAGGGCAAATGAGGGTTGGGCTCACCTGTCTCGATTCTAGTGTTGTAGGGAATGTAAAGAACAGTTAATTCTGAGCATAAATGAATGAATAGGTTTTATTGACTCATTCATTTATTAGTTTAAAAAATGTATTGAGTATCTCTTGTTTTATGCACATAGGGGAAAATTCTGTTCACAGAGCAAGGGTGAGTTGAACCAAACATTGAGAGATAATTGGATTGTGAAAACTAGAATAGGGAGGAAAACGTCTTCCCAGCTGAGGGGACCATATAGGCAAAGGCATTGAGTGGGTGGGGCTTGGAGAACTTCAAGAAGGTCTGACTTCAAGAAGGTGACTGCAGTGTGTGACTCAGGGGAAATGGGGATTAAGCTCAAGAAGTGGGGTGACGTCAGATAGTAGATTTCAGTAGTGTAAATAAGTTTGGATTTTATTCTACTAGCACTAGAAAGTGTCAGAAGATTACTGTATTAAGGAACATACCGATCATATTTTGTTTGGGGTAGATCACTCTGAGGGGTAGGTTTTAGAGTCAAGAGACAGAGATGCTAATGAGAGGATACTAATGCAGTGGAGAAGGAATGGGCTCTTTGTAATCCTCTTAAGTGTGGAAGATTACCCATGGAGATACCAGGGTAAAAGGGAGTAGCCAGCAAAGGGGACTGAGAAGGGGCAGCAGGAGATACAGATGAGGGTCTAGGAGTACTCATTTTCACAGACCAGAGCTGGCAGCAGCAGTCCAGCCACCTGGCCCCAAAAGGCCAAGAGTAGGTTATGACAAACGTCCACCAGGTGTTCCCGTTGGTAAATGAAAAACTATTCATGACCTCTAATATAGCTAGGTTAGTAGGGAATTGCTAGCCTGTGGTCCATTAGAAAGCGCTGATGAATGAATTTGATGGTGAATAGAAGTGCATGTGTGGCAGTGGGGGAGATGGGGCTTATAGATTAAGGAAACAGGGACATGGCAGAGACTGAAGCATCTTTATATTGGAGGAGAAGGAGCTGCCAGAATTGAGAGATGTGAGAAGATCTAAGTAAAGCAAGAGCCCAAGGAAGGGGATTCAACCTGGCTGGGAGAAAGGCCCCTTGCACACCAACAGAGCAGAAGGTGAACAGAGACATAGTCTCAAATGTGAGGAAAGATCAAGGAATCCTCACAGCAAGCTTTCATCTGAGGAAGTGGAGGTGGAGTAAGGAGTGCTTGGTAGAGAGTGGGGCACCAGAATTGGCAGGGGCGATGAAGCGAGGGCTTGAGGGACAAGGACCCGAGCTCCATGAGGCCCATAAAAATTTAAGTTGAGTTGGGAGCCTGGGCAGCAAGGGTGCTGACTCTTCCCCAGCCAGGCTCTACCATCTGAAAACAGAAAGTAGACATCAGGAGTTATATCCCGAAGTGGCCATGGTGGAAATTAAAAGATTTGGACAGCCAGACGTAAGAATCCAAGTTAGGTAGGAAATAACAGACAAGTACGGAAACATGAAAAAAATGTGTTAATTTATCAGCTAGAAATCTATCTGCATCTCTTAACTCCTCATTGTTTTTACAATGGCCTTATGTTCTCCAATAGCCAGAATGTACTGTCTCTGGGGTTAAGTAACTTCTGATTTTCCATGATAGTCTATGTATATTATCCCAGTTTAAGAAAAAGCCTTGTTTTACTTTAAAGACCAGGGTAGGAGGTGGAAGGGGCTCTAGACAGAAAAGCTTGACTGTAGTAATAGAATTAAACTAAATAAGAGGCCTGATCATGACTTGCTTACCAGGAGTTCCTCTCCCTCTCAGTCTCAGTTATTAATTTCTATGTTGAATGCATTTCTCAAAATGCCATTATTAGAGAAATAGTCAATTAATCCCTACTGATGATTAGGAAATGTTACTTAAATGTTAATTTGATAGAAATGGGGTTTAAAAGCTTGTCATTTAATCATAGTGATATTTGAGTCACTTTTTATTGATTTTTTTTCTTTCATTTATAGATTTAGCTACCAAGCATTATATAGCTATGTACCACAGAATGATGATGAGTTGGAACTCCGGGATGGAGATATTGTTGATGTCATGGAGAAATGCGATGATGGGTGGTTTGTTGGTAAGAATCTCATCAAGTTTTTATTTCTAGTTGAAGAAAGAACTAGAAGGGATGAGCCATGCAGGAAGCTGTCTTCTCTGCACAGAAAGAAGGGCCTGCTCAGCTCCTGCCCCATAAATGGGATGCTGAGCCACTGGTCTCTTTACTCTTAAGACTGTATGGATGTTACTAATGTTGGATCTAAAACCAAGCATGCCAAATTCTGACACACGGGAAGGGAATTGTCAAATTCATTACTGTTATTAATTGGGTCTCCTTTATATTTCTGTTGTGCATGTCTATTTTCATTTGGAAATTTTATTTTTAAAGCTCTTTATGAAACAAAATAAGAAAATTTTGACTTGTCTACCATGAGAAATTCAAGCTTATGTGTGGGTTTTACACAGATCTTCTTAATCTACTCTAGGCTTCTAATAACTTTGATCAAAGCAACCTGCTTAGTTATAGCAGGTGTAGCTCCATGTTAGAGCATTGACTTAGTTGGTCTAGCATGTGGGAGACTCTAGGTTTCATCCCCTGTGTTTTGACAACAGCAAAGAATTTGCCTATATGAGAAGGGGAGAAAAAGATCAACACTGCTCAGATTCTGTTACAAGCCAGAAGCTGTGCTTGATGTGCTTTTATTGATGATATATCAACGAACGGCCCTGTAAACAAGAATTTTCTTCATTTAACAGATTCAAAAAGTGAGGGCCAAAGAGGTTAAGTTACTATCCCAGTTCACCCAGGTAGCAAATGATGGGAACTCAGACCACCCAAACTCTCCTCAGACCCACATTCTTACTGCTGCTTACCTGAATTTAGTGCTAGAAGCCACTGACTTACTCTGTGCCTTAATTTTCTTCTTCTCTCTAAAGACCAACTTTTCCCTGATCTCTCTAGAAAAGCTTTGCTCTAGCAATGTCAAGGCTGGAGTGGTGAGAACAGTAAGACTTCAGCATCAGTGGGAAGTCAGGAAGGTTTGCCTTGGCCCTACCAGCTTCTTAGAAAGTGACCCCATCCTTCTGAGACCCCAGAAAGCCAAAACCCCCAACAACTTAAAGCAATCCAATCAAGAAAAAAGAAAAACCAAAAAACAAGGGCCAACCCAAAGCAACGAAGCCCAAAAAAAAAACAAGCCAACCGGGCAAGAAAAAACAAAATTTCCAAAAACAAAAATGAAAAAAAGTCAAATGAAACCAACCAAATTAATCCCAATATAATTTATAAACCAAATACATTCAAAATATTATAATTTGAACATGTAAACAACATAAAGATGACTAGTGAGATATTTTACTTGTTTTCATACCAAGTGTTCAGTTAAGAACCCAGTGTATGTTTTCCACTCACAGCTGAGCAGATTTCCACCTAGCCATATTTCAGCTGCTCAGTTGCCACTCTGGCTGTTATCTTAGAGAGTGCAGCTCTCGTGTATATTAGCTCTTAAACTCCTTCATGAGTATTTCCTTTTTTTTTTTTTAATTTTAATTTTGATGCTGTAAATTGAACCCAGGGGTGCTTAACCACTGGGCCAAATCCTTGTCCCTTCTTGTTTTTTGAGACAGGCTCTTGCTAAGTTGCTGAGGCTGTCTTTGAATTGACAATCCTCCTGCCTCAACCTCCCAAGTCACTGGGATTACAGGCATGCACTACTGAGTCTGGCTGAGTATTTTAATGTAAAGGCACCTATTCACCAATGGAGGCATTCCCAGTCACTGGGCAAAGGAAATACTTTGGATATCTTTCTCACATGCTTCAATCACTTTGAAAAGTAGCCTTAGTATTCAGAATACAAGCAGTAGCCTGTCAGAACTCATTTTTTTTTCTCATCCATAAGGAAAGGTGCTAACCAGTATACGAGTACAAGTACAAGTGAGTGGTTATCAGCTCTGGTCTTACCATCTCAGTTCTTTTTACCCTTCTTGACCAGCCTCCCTAGGGATGCAACTAGATGTTTCGTGGGTCATGAGCCTTGACACATTCTTTTAGTTTAGAAGCTTCACTTGGCAATGATCCCAATTCATTCATCCTGGCTGCTTGAGGTGCTGTGTTCAGCAGGATTCTGGAGCCAAATCCAAGCCAGCTGACAAAAGGGTGCAGTGTTAAACTGTGATGCTTTCTAATGAGAGGAAAATGATGACACAACCTATATCAGCCACCCCTGCTGTAGAGGGACTCCCAGGGGAGGGGCTTGATGAGGGACCAGCAAATCCAGATTAGGAGCAACCCAGGAAGGGCTTTGTTCCCAGAGGACTCAATGCTCCTGGTTCAGTGGGACCCTAACAAGGTGACAGGGAGCCAGGTCATAGGGTTTGAGAGGAATTTCCTTTTGGTGTGTAGTCATCATCGTAGTCAGTGGGCTGTTAGAAATCCTGCCGTTCAGAAATTCTAAATCCCAGTTGTCTTGTCGTGTCTTGTCTTATGCTGATTTCTCCAAAAGAAGAAATGTCAGGAAGAGAAATGGCTGGGAGTCAGGAGACCTGAATTCAGATTACGCCTCTGGCACTTACTAAGCTAAGGGTCCTCAAGTGTTATTTGAGCTCTTTGAGTCTGAGTTTCTTCATCTGAAAAATAGGAATAGTAGACATGCCTACCTTTCTTAACAGCTAGCATCATTTTGCAGCCAAAATGAGATAAGATAGGGGAACTTGGTTTGGAAATCATACAGTGCTTTAGAAGCTGCCGGATTTTAAAAGTGATATTCAACCAGAAATCTCTACAGTGCTCTCTCTGAACACAGTGAGTGGATCTTCTCATTTTGTGTATGTGTTTGTTTTGCAGGTACTTCAAGAAGGACAAGGCAGTTTGGTACTTTCCCAGGCAACTATGTAAAACCTTTATATCTATAAGAAGACTGAAAAACACAGAGATTATTTTTATTGGAGGATGAAGCATAATTCGTGAACCAGTCTCTTTATTTAAATGTCAAATCACTATGAAAATCAATGCAGTGGATAAAGTAAGAACTAAAAGACAGGAACAGAGAAATGTTGTGTTTAAAACCCAAACCTGTCTAAACTTATTATATATATCAGGGCTGAACTGTGTGCTGAACAGAAAGAATTGAGGCAACTCTATATTCACTTAGCTGCTTCTGGAAGCTGCTCCAGCCTTCAAACTCCCTTCTGCCTCTTGGATAATCTGACCTGGAACACAGTCCAAGAGCAGAGTTAGCCACAGATGCTCCCTGCTGCCCCAATCTTAAATTCCATCTTGAAGGGGTTCTTGAGCCTAAAGGGGCCCCAGGCAAATAGGTTTCCAGCCAGGTTCCAAAGGTTCCAAGCCTGAGCATCCACTGACTACCCCAGCTTCCATGTCTGGCTGCCCTGGGGCCAAGTGAGCCCCAGTGCTCTAGAGGTCAGTCTGGGCTGCTGAGCTGTCTCTTGACAATGGTGGTGGCCCCCAATTGGCCCCAAACCAAATCCTCCCTGGACCTGCAGAGGTACAGTTGAGGAAGTAGAGGCAAAACAGGTACCTTGTGCCATCAGCCGGCTGTGCAGCTTTGTCATGGACTGCCCTTCTTCCAGATGAAAAAGCTCATGAGGTTTGTCCTGAGAATTGGGGAGCAGATGGCCAAGCAGATAGATTACATTTGTATTTCTAAGTGATTAAGTCGAGAAGCCCTGCAGCCCCAGGGGTCATTTGCAGTGTGTTCTTTTCCCATATCAGTGGCTGTTATAAACAGTCATCACTAGGCATCTGCAGCTGCAGCTGTATTTATCAGAGCACCATTGCTAACCTTTCTGGCTTGTATTTGGCTGGGACAGTTTGGGACTGGTAGGCTTAATCCAAAGTGGGATGTAATGGTTCATTTAACACATGTGACATATGCTGACTGCTGAAACATACATAAGACTGCTCCAGGCCTAGAAGGCCAGTTTTATCTCCTGGTACAAGTTCAAAGACCACTCCTAGCGTAGTCACCCACAGTTTGGAATTCTCATGCACCCAGTGAGGCTTCTGTTCTTGATAAAGGCGTAGGTACAGTAGCCTTAGTGTGAAGCAGTGATTCTGTCACTACTCGGACAACCAGGAGCTCTGTCCTTTGAGGGTACTGGATCTGAGGAGGAAGCCCTCCAAATGTCCTGACAAGGACATTTGTTTAGGGGTACTTAGTCGCAACTCTGTCCATGTTGTATTATGGGAATTTTTTAGCTTCTGTGTTAGATCTCTTAGTGACACAAAGATAGAAGTGCCCCATTCCTTGCCCACCAGGAACTCAGAAGCAATTGGGGAGATAGACACAGAGAAAGGAACTTAAGAGAGACTGTGATAAGTGCTAAGAAGGGTGCGAGAGGAAGAGATGTATTTCTCCTGGAGAGATCCTAGAAAGCATTGTCATATTTCTGTCTCCATTAACTCTCCGTTGAATAGCTAGGATGCTGGGAGAACCTTTGTCTGATGGTAGCTTATGGCTAGAAATACGTGGAACTTTTTCCAGAGTCTCCAAATTTTCATACTCCCCACAAATACATTTCCAAGGTCATAAATAGGAGTAGCAAGTCTAAGTGGCAAGGGTGTGTACTAGAATGCCTGGTTCTCTGCATCTATCTCAGAAATACACCAAGACTATTGTCCCCAATTCTGGAGTCTTAAAAAAAAAAAAAAAAGTAGGCAAAATTTGTCTTTAGTATCTCTTCCCCAGTTGCTCTCCCAGATACCCTTCTTAGAATCCCACCAGCCTCCTAGGGCCCACCAGTCAGCCACACAATACCCTCACTTTCTCCCTATCCTCTAAAGGAGGCTTGCAGGAAAGAAACAACCACTGCTTCATTCACACTAAAGTGTAAATGACTGATGAGAAGAGGGTGTTACCTCTTTCCAGAGACATTTGTTTTTAACTAGGACAGAGCAAAGCCTTTACCCCAAGGGAAAAGGTTGTGGAACTGTAGGGGAGGAGGGTTTCTGGGTAGAAAGCGTTCTGGATTTTCTTTAGGACCCAGTGAGAGTAAGACCTATTGTTTGTGGAAGGTCTGCTTCACCAGGGAGGGCACTATTTTTTTTGCCTCTCTCTGGGGGCTACAATAAGGATACAAAAGCACGGTGCGCTTGCGCACTGCATTTCACCCACTTTGGAATGTAATCCCCGTACTGGCTCATGCGCCTCCTGTTCTTCCTTAGATGCAAACCATTAACAACACAATCTTATTAAGAGGTTTTTGAGGGGTGCTTCTTGATTAAGTAGGTAACTTTGAACACCTCTTTAAATACAGCTAGAAAATAAAACCAATTTGTAAAGCTACATTTGCATATGATGCCAGCCTCACGCATTTGTATATCTCCAGAAATTCCCAAATGCCTCACTACTGTGCCCGACTTTAATAAAATCATATGTTCAAATTCGTATCACTTCAGTTTCCTATGTATGAGAAAACAAGGGAGCGAAAGTTTCCCATTACCCTTTTGTCTTCAAACATTTAGTAATATAAAGTACCTATTTTTATGCTGAAATGTTTATACAGGTTTATTAATAGCAAGTGCGACTAACTGGCGGCATGCCTCGCGACACATTTTGATATATTAGCAGTGCTTCCAGGTAAAGGCAAGTCCCAAACTACTTATCTTTTGCAGTCTCTCTGGGATCAGTAAAAGAAAAAAAAATCACGTGCGTGAAAAGTGGGACTGTAAATATGTATATTTAACTTTGTATAGGCCATGTACCTACCTGTATAGAAAATAATTTTAAAAATTTGAATGAATGGGGAGGACAATAAGGAAGTCATGAAGTTTTCCCATTTTTATTTAAATGAAGGAATTCCAAATAACTCACCTGCAGACTTTTAGCACAAAAATAGCCATTGCAAACTGTTAAAATTTATAATAAAATCATTCTTTTGGGAAGAGAAGGTAACTATAATCTCAGTTTTTGTTTTTTTGTTTTGCAGTCCTATTTTTCTGCAGTAGTATTAAGTCCTATTGCTAGAACAGGTTACTACAAAAAAATTATATTCTGAAAGAAAAATAACTGACATTATATATAACTGATTAATTTAAAGTATTGCCATTTAAATGACACACTGAGAGCATGTACTATGCAGACACAGATTTTTCTGTTCATTTATTTTTCTTTATTGCAGTGGATTGATTTGATAAATAGATGTGCTGAATTACTACCTTTGCTGTACATACTATTTAATAAACTTTATTCAGAATTGTGTGGAATATGTTTGTTCTTGCCATTCGTTGGTTCCTGCCTCTGTCAAGCTTCTATTCCCTGCTTCTCCCTCACACTCCTGTCCTCATGTCCACTCCCCCACTCCCCTGCAAGTGCTAGGCAAGGGCTCTACCACTGAGCCACACCCTCATCCTGTCTGTTTTTAATTAATGGCCACCTGGCTTCTACCCTGCTGGAGGACATCATTTCTTACCTTACTTTTTTCTCAGTAACTCCATGGCCTTCTCTAAATTTATAACTGTTGACTATTTTACCTTTCTTCCTAAAGTATGTTGTTCTGATAACAAAAATAATGCACATATCTTTTAAAGCAAAAGTGAAACATTATAAAATATGCATAATGGATCTTGATTCACTCCTCAAGACATGGGAAAACATAGTATTTACTTTTTCTAAATCAATTAAGTCTGGCTCATGAGTCATTTCTTACTATAATGGGTTTCTTGGTTTTTTCCCAAAACCAAGTGTGTGAAGGCACTAAGTGTCTGGTCTCCCTACCATGTCATACCATGACCACCTCCACCTTGTTCCAGGGTGGGTTCTGTTGCACATAGGGCTCTCCCCTAAGAGAAAACCCAAACCTCCACCCTCTCCCCCCGACACTGTCCTTCCTTTCCCACCTTGTCCAACTCACAGCACTAGTCCTAAGTGCTGGACTTGAGCCTCAGACAGCCCTGGGAGAGGCGTTGTCTTCCTGGGCCCTGGTCACAGGCACTGCTAACCTTTCCCTCCTGCCCTCATCGCTTTCAGCAAATCCATCAGGGTATCTTCAAACTGCAGTTAGAACTCAGCCATTTCTACCATTATACTTCAAGTCATTTTCTCTCAACTAGAGCATTGCCATAACTTTCTGTCTGTTCTCCGGGCTTCTACCCTTGACAGAGCAACCAGGGTGGGATCATTCTACAGGTGATCCAAAAACCCTCTGAGGATCTCTCAGAGTAGATCAACGGGCTCAAGCTCCTAGGCATACCGCCCCTCCCCCCACTGTCCCTGACCTCATCTGCTAGTTTCCCATGGTTTGTTCCAGCCCTCAGCTCTCCTGAAGGTCTCAAGCCCCTCGAGCATGCGTCAGTTCCAGGGCTTTGTGCTTGCTTTTCCCTGTGCCTGGGAGATCCCTTACTTAACAGCCACTTGGCTTCCTTCCTTCCTCTAGGTCTTTATGTTCCCTTGTCAATAAGGCTTTCTCTGACAACTTTGTATACAACTGGAGCCTATTGTCCGCACCTCCAGCATTCTATCCTCCTTTTCTTTTTCTATGTTCCTTTATAACACTTAACCACCATCTAATATTTGTCTTCACAGAAAAATCCCTGCGGGCTGGGGTTGTGGCTCAGTGGTAGAGCGCTTGCCTTGAATGTGAGAGGCACTGGGATCGATTCTCGGCACCACATATAAATAGAAAACAAAAGTCCATCAACAACTAAAATGAATAAAATAAATAATTTTTTTTTAAATCCTGTAAGATCTGAGGGTAGTGATTTTGTTTTGCACCAGGACACTTGGTCCTTTTCTGGTCAAATAAATGAGTGAATGAATCCCTGAGGCCAGAAGACCTAGGACTCGATATGTTCTACAAACAGCAAAAGAAGGAAACAAACCATGTTCTTATGGCAGCAGAAACATAACAAATTAACTTCCAACTGAATTGGGCTAATAAATTGATAGTGAGAGTTTTGTAATTATATTCCTCCTCCTGCATAGATTGCTGCCGACTGTCTGCCGTGTGATCCTCTGAGCTTGCCTTTTTGCATATACTAAACACAAGACTCTAAATAAATGCTTTACATGGTCTTATACAAATTTTCCCCTTAATAGATCTTGGACATAGTTCCAAAATTTATTTAACCCAGTCCCTTATTGATGATGCAAATGTGTTAGGTTATTGCCAGCTTTTTACCACAATAAACAATGCTGCTTTGTGTAGAATGGTTGGCTCAGAGAGCAGGGACGTTTCAAATCCTAAGAAACTGTCAAATCGCCTTCCTAAAAGTACCAATTTATTCTCCTGCCAAGTCCACAGGAGTGTTTCCCACCACCCAATTAAAACTACTCCACTGTCAGCTTCTGTGAAATGCTTCTCTTTGGTTTTCTGGCTCTGGTCAGCCCCTTCACAATCCTCTTTCCAGATCCTCTGCTGCTTTCTCAGCCTTCTGATATTTTCTCTCAACACTTGCTCCTTCAGGGAGCAGATTCCTCCTAATATAATTATGGCCCAAAGAGTGGATTGTAGTGGGGCCTTTTCCATGATTAAGTGGTAGAAGGCTGACACTCAGGCATTTGTTGAGACATACCAAAAGGAGTTGGAACTCGCCTCAGGCAGGAGCGAGTCCAGAGACTCCAACTTTCTTCATCTGTATTTATCTTATTCTTGGCTCTGTTGGTCTTGTTTGGCTACATTTTCACCTACTGAGTACAGCAATGGGAAACACGGCTGCAGGCGGCTCTGGCCTCATTTCTTTCAGTTCTCTGACTTGATTCTAGAGGCAAGAGGCTTTCCTATTTGGCATTCCCTGAACACAATTCCAGACCCTGGCAGGTCCAACCTGAGTTTTTTTGCTTCCCTGCACTCATCACTGTGGTCAAAGGAGGTGAAGTGGGATTGGCAGCTCTACCCAAACTTCACAGAATGAAAATCCAGGGAGGGGTGACTAGTATAAAAAGAGGGGAGCAGGAAGCACTGGACTTGGAGAGTTATTACAGCAAACTTGAGAAAATGAAACATCATTGTGCTGTCCCAACATGAACTTCAGTGTAGCCGAATGCAGGCTGTGTGCGGAAGGCCCCTCAGTCAAGGTCTTGAGAAGAACAAACTGGAGGATGACGTCCATCCTGTGGAGGGGGCCAACAGTGACCACGAGGGCACCGCAGGACTGTATCACATGCTAAAAATATCACAACTCTTCTGGAGGAAATAAAAATGTTTGGATGAGTTGTATATGGGTGGCTTTGCCAAACCTTAGCGTGTAGAAATGAATCCTGGCTCAGGAACACTTAGCCAGGGGCTTTTAGAGCAAATAAAAGAAATCATCTCTTGATTCAGGTAATTCATAGATAAATTAGATGAGAAAAGTTTCAGATTGAAAATACATTGGCCATCCCTTACTCTGTGAGGGACACATTCTAAGACAGAGGATGCCCCAAACCACAGATAGCTCTGATCTCTATGTCTACTGTTTTTTTCCCTATAGAAATAGAAAGCTTAATTGATAAATTAGGTATAAGAGATTAAATAATAACTAATATAACAAAAATTATAACAATGTACTGTAATAAATGTGATAGATATAAAGGTCATCTCTCTGGATATCTTGTACTCACACTTCTTACCACGGCAACTGAAACAACAGAAAGCAAATCCACAGATAACAGGATGACTACTCTATTCATGAAAATTTAAGATAAACCCAAGGACCCAAAAAGCCATGACGCAAAAGTTCTGGATGACTCCTTGACACTTTGAGTCTGTCCTGGTGCATGAGTCTGCTGCTCTTCCAGGGGCCCCACTCTGTCATTGTCAGATGTGAAATAACCAGGTTGACTTGAGAGTGTCTGGCTCCTTCTGACTTGCTTGTTTCTAAATTTTTTTTGATAGACAAATATGAAAAGGGGAAGTGGATCTGAGAGTCACCTGCAGTAGTGGCCTAAATTACATAGGCCAAGGAACTCAAAGCATGGTTTGCAATCAAGTCCAGAGATTCATAATATCCAAACTATTTTCATAATAATCATAAGATGCTTCAGCTTCCAGGAATGTCTCTGGCGACCCTCACTTTCTGGTATTCACACCTTGTGTGGTCCCTTTCCCCCATTTTATCTGGTCTGTGGATAGAATATGGCAGAAGTGATGCTATGTGAATTCTGAGGTGAGGTCACAAAAAAACCTTTGTGAGTGCTGTCCTACTCCTGGACCACTTGGCGAGAAGCAGACCACAGCTTAGGACTTCTGCATCCCAGGTGTCTTGCTGAGTTGGGTCAGTGTGCTAATTCCTCCTCAAAGGAATTATTAGACAGGGCCATGGGCTGAGAGTCTGACCTGAGTTCAAATACGGTCTTTGATCCTTACTATGTTGTGAGACATTAGAAATTCCATTTAAACTTGGGCTTCCTCGAGTAAGAGGGGAATATGGCTGATCAAAATGAGGTTCAGTTAGGAAGGAGGAAGAAGGACATTTGGAAGGCCACTTGCAGTTCCACCCCTGAGCTCTGTAGTCCTTCCAATGCCCACTGTGTACCCACACTTTTCCATGCATTATCTACTTCTCATAGCAACTCTGTGAGGTAACCATTCTTATCTACATGTACAGGTGACAAATCAGACTCAGGAATTCAGCCCAAGGATATACCCACAAGTATGTGGATTCAGTCTGACTTCAAAGCCAGTGTCGTCTCCATTGATCACACTCTGCTGCCTCCATGGGACAGACAGCTGGAAAAATTCATAGACCAGCATATACCTCTGGATTATCTAAAGTTTACCAAAAGATGACGACATACAAGCCTGATCTCGTGGAATAATGATAACTGCTAACCGTTTGATGAACATCTACCACAGGCTTCAACATTGAAAGCTCAGTGGAAGGTCCATATCCCTTCTTAGTCACTGTTATGCCAGAACCAAGGCAGTAGCATTGGAACAGAAGAAATCTTCATGCTGATTCCTTGTCATCTTGACCCTACACAAGAGCCTTGTGAGGGTTGCTCAGCCCTGGGCCTCTGCTTCCTCACCCTTGATCACCTGCACTTTGGCTTACCTATGTGTTGCTATAGGTCCCAAAATCGCAAAGATCACCAAGAACTTTGCACTCCTATTTTCTTTATCAGGTAAAAAAAAAATGATTTTGGCTACACTAACAAATGTCTCAACACATGACAGCTTGTGTGACACTAATGTGTCTCATTATCTCTCAGAAAAGAAGTTAGGACTCTGCTTGGTTTTTCTGATTCTGTTGGCTTTTCATGATGACACTCTGGCTACCATCGCAGC